GCCTAATATTTTAAAAAATCAACTCTTGGTTTTCTCCCCTCAGCCTCACCGCCCTGATTCTGTGCTTTGAGCAGATGCCATCACCGCCCTTGGAGTCGCTCTCACCAGAAGTCCAGGTTACCTTCCACTCCCCTGTCCTCTACGCTCTCATCTGCTTAAGTGGCAGGTCCTGTCAATCATCCAGGACATACCCCCTGGCCTCTGTGTCCCCTCCTCCACCACAGCCTTGCCTTCCAAGCCACGGCCCCACCTCCCCTGGACGGCCACTGAGCCCCCACTGGCCCCTGGTTCTCACAGAGCCTCTGACTGCCTTCTCCATTCAGCCGCTGCCGATCTTACCACTGCACTGAAATGCTCCCTGCCCCGTCATTTCCCCCCTGACCGTGTGTCCTGCCTACCACTGGGGACCCTCAGGACCTGGCCCTGCCACTCCAGCCCACCTTCCCCTCACCCCTGGCCAAACTGGCCTCTCTCTGGTCCCTTTGCTCAGGGAGGTCTTTCTGGCTTCAGGTAAGGCAGTCGCTGTGCCTAAAACTCCTGCCCCACGCTCTTCACATGCCGGCTGCTCCCGGGGTTTCCTGTCTCCCACCCGGTGAGCCCACCACTGCTCTCGCATTCCTCCCTGCTCCTTCCCTCCCCGGTGCTGGCGTTGCCTTATTCCTCTGCTGGTCTATTTTGGCTCTGGCCTGAGGGCAGCAGGGATTGTGCTTGTTTCCTGGTGGGTCAGCAGCATCTCCTGGGTGAGCATGTGGAGGAGGTGCTGGCTGAGCAGTGGCCACAGTGCAGAGGCCCTGGAGGCTGCGGGCCGAGGGGAGGGCCTGCATTTGGCCTGGGCCACGAGGCTTCTGGCTTCCACGTGGGCAGTGTTGTAAGAGCACAGGTGCAGGAGGGGGAGCAGCTGGGGCGGGGCGGTCAGGAGCCAGAAGTTGTGCCACTGAAGTTGAGGTGCCCCTAACATTTCCTTCCCAGAAAGAACAATGGGGGCCCCACTGACACAGGGGATATACGTCTGGGTTATAACTGCAGCTGACAAACTGTCACCCAGTGCGTCCCATCCTACTTCCCACCTTAACCAGGGGTTAGGTCCTCAGCCTCCTGGGAGGGTGGCCGCTGCCAGAGAGCCCCGCCCAGCTGTGGGCCCTGCCGCAGCCCCCTTCCCTGCCTGTCTCCCTCCTTGCCCATGGGCCCAGGTCCTGTCTGCCCCCGCCCTCAGGTGCAGGGCTGCGTGGAGTAGTGAGGCTGTGCCCCACGGAGGAAGAGGCCAGGCAGGCCTGGGAGGCAGAGAATCCAGGCTCCTGGGGCCTGAAGTGTGGTGGAGAAGGTCTGGGGTGCTCTCCCTGTGGACCTCTCCAGGGGGTGCAGAGGAGGAGGGCTGGAGCTGCCGCCCTGCCTCTGGCCTGTAGGCTGTGCGGCCTGGGCTGTGTGGCTGGCGGTCTGAGGCGGTATGCGAGTGGAGGAGTCTCCTGCGCAGTGAGAATTAGGAAGATGAGCTGGGGTGGCTCGGGTCTCAGGACCCTCTGTTCACAAGTCGGTGGTGGTTGAGGCCGGAGAGGTAGGCTGTGCAGAGAGAGACAGGAGCCGTATGGCGGTGCCCTCCCCACCCCTACCGGGCTCACTCTCAGACACCTGTGGCCTGTGTCCCGCGGAAGGACGTCAGGAATCCTGTGTGGGAATGGACAAGAGTTGGTTCATGTGATTGGAGGCTGTGAGCTCCCAGCCCAGCTGTGTGACTGCCCAGCGGTGAAGCCGGGGCCGAGGCCTCGCCTCGCTGAGCCTGCCTCCCCATCTGTATAATGGGTACAGCGAGCAGGTGAGAGGAGTGGCTGAGGTGCTAATGGGGAACACTGACCATGAGACAATTGTCATCAGGTGACAAAAGTAGAAATGTCAGTTGTTACGAGCAGAAAAGAACAGATGCCCAGCCCGGGCCTCCTGTGTCCCCCCAGGTGCCCTGCAGGGCAGTGAGAGCTGGGCAAGATGAGAACCTGTGACAGAACCACAGGCAGGAAGGGGTGGGGCCTTGCACAGTCCAGGGCCTGCACCTTCCCCTTTCTCTCTCCCTGGCCCGGGGCGGGTGAAAGGCGTGATTCTCTCTGGGGGCGGGGGCACGTGGGTAAGGGGCCGTGAGGCGCTGGGCCTGTGAGTGAAGGCTCCTGCCTTGTGGGCAGGAAGTGAGAGGTGCAGAGCAGCTGGGAAGACTGGGGCGGGGGGGCAGAGCGGGAGGGTGAGAGTGTCTGGGGGTGAGGGGAGCGGAAGTCGGAAGCTCCAGCCACCACATTCGCCACTCACAGGGCAGACACACGGCAGCGGGACCTGCTCCCTTGGAGGTGAGCGTGGTGGGCCCGCTTGGGGTGGGCCTGGGCACCAGCGGGCCTTGTGTGCCCTGGGGCAGTGGCTGGGGCCGGTGGGCAGAAGGAGGGCGCTGTGGTCTCTACCGGGCACCTGCCGTGAGCTTGGCCCGGGCTGTACCCCCACCTTTCACTTCCTTCTCTCTGTCCCCTCCTCTCTCACCCTTCCCCGGCCCATCAGGCCCTTGCTCTGCTTCCTGCCCCAGCCCCGCCAGAGCCCTTTGGGGTCTGCAGCAGTGAACTGCCTGACGTGACTGCTGTGGCTGGGTGCCCAGTGGGTGCTCTTGGGGCCTGAGGCCTCAAGGAAGCCTGACCCTCGATCTTTGAGGGAGGGAGGCCAGATGGGCCAGGGGTAGTTTGGGGTGTGGCCACTGCAGGAGCTCAGACTCTGCTCTAAGGGGGCTCCTAGCCCCACCCGGAGGGGCTGGTTACAGGCAGGGCCCCGACTTGCCGGTTTGCCAGGTCACCTGATGGGCAGCAGAAGCCATGCCACTCAGTGTCCCTGTGCGGGCACTCAGGCCTTCCAGGTGTGGCTGTGTCTTCACAGTGAAGCCAGCCACGGAGGGCCCGCCCCCCACAGGGCCTGGTTCTAGAGCCTGAAATGCTGAAAGCTGGGCAGGGCCTCCTGCCATGGGGCCAGGATTAGTCCCCTCAGGGCCTTCGCCAGGTTTGAAGGATGGGCGGCAAATGGGCCTGTCGCCCTAACCTCCTGGACATCTGCAAACAAGGAGCTGCCCAGCTCGGGGCTCAGAGCCTGCTGAGCTGTTTGTGGAGTGAGGGGGGCGTCCCAGAGGGGTGAGGAGCCCAGCCTGGCCTGAGCCCTCCCCGTGCGCCTAGCCCTTCCCTGGGCTGCAGCTGCTCCGGGACCTGTTGGTGCTCTGCCCCATTCTCTGCCCCATCATCCCTCCTCTCTGCCTGAGTCCTGGCTGACCCTGACCCTGACCCCCCACAGGGTCCTCAGCGCCCCCAGAGCCTCCCTCCTCCCCCTCTCACTCCTCCCCCTCTCCCTCCCTGCGCATTTGCATTAGGGCTCCTGGTGTGGCAGGAAGTGGGGCCTGCCCTGAACTTGGCCTGCTCGGTCCCCAGCTTCAGGTAGGGGCGTCAGTCCTGCAGCTCCTGACAGAGGCCTCAACCTGGGCTCCCTCCCTGAGGGCCGACATTTCTGACCGGGCTCCTGCACAGGGACAGCACCCAGCACTTCCTCAATCCCTGCACAGGCCAGGAGCCTTTGCTTTTTCCAATGGAAGGAAACAACTTCCACAGTGAAAGGAAGGCATGTTTGCTGAGTGGAAGCTTAAAAGGAGAGACACAGAGTCCAGGAGGAGATGCGGGGCTGGCTGGCTCTGAGGCCGCTGAGAGTGAGGTGCCCACCAGGCCGCTGCGCTGGGAGGGAGGCCGTTGGTGTGTTTCGCTTCTCTGAGTGGACCCTCCACGCAGCAGAGTAAAGGAGCAGGCAGGGCCCGGCACTGGCGCTGACCCGCTCCCGTCCCATAACAGGCCTGTGGAGCAGCGTCCTCCCTCTCATCTCCGTGTTCTGCAGACCAGGAAGCAGGTGGCATTTCTGACCAGCCAGTGGCTGGTCAGCTGCCGTTAGGGTGTGAGTCCAGTCTGTGGGCCTCAGGTGTGGTCGTGCAGGATGCCCAGGCCATCACCTGTCCCAGGGCAGGCTGTCTGCAGCCTCTTGCAGGCAGAGGGTAAGCCCTGTGCCCAGCCAGGGGGAGAAACGCAAGCGCAATCCTCAAAAGCACAGTTCAGCTCCCAGACGGGGTTCCCTCCTGTCCCAGCATCACAAAGGAGCTGCCTGAACCCAGGCAGGTGGAACCCAGGTGGAGTGGAACCAGCAGTGGGGGTCTGTGTCCTGGTCCCCAGCTCAGCCCATCAGCGGGCACAGGCGCAGCCCCTGCGGAGTTCTCCTCCAGAGACCCCTCGAGATGGGACTTGCCTGACGTGAATTTAGCTGACGAAGCCGGGGCCGCAGTGGACCCGTGCCCGCCCCCCTCACTGTCTTCTGGAGCGTCAGCATTTTCCTGGATCCTTCTCCCAGAACTTATCCTCGAACTTCTGAGCCCTCACGGAGCTTAGAAAATGAGGGGCCACTGTATCTTAGGAGTGGCAAACCCCCTTGTGAGACGTGTGGCAGACTTTCTCCCTCCTTTGTTCTGAGGATACCTGAGATAAGCTATTTCAAGAGATTTCACTGAACACCAAGAGTGGAGAAAAAAGTAAACCAAGAAGATTCTAGATGCAGGAGACCAGGCACGCCTCCGCCTGGGAGGTGCCACCTGCCCCCAGAACAGGCTGGTCGCCCCCCTTGACCCTGGATCCTTAACCCTTGCTGGGTCAGGACGGGTGGGACTGCCTTGGTGGCTGTAAGTCACCTCTCTCCTCAGGTCCTTCCACCCCTCCATTCAGGGAGGAGAAATTGAAAAAAGAAAAAAAAAGGTGGGGCGGGGAGGGAGATAGAGATAGAGACCCAGACAGATAGAAAGATGATAGATAAGATTATAGATGATAGATAGATAGATAGATAGATAGATAGATAGATAGATAGATGATAGATAATAGAGAGATAGATAGACTGGTAGTAATAGATAATAGGTAGATATTTCTTAACCCTCAATTGCCTGAGGGTCCCCCAGTCTCCTGTCCGTCCAGCTGCTCCTGGGAAAAAGGGACACACATGAGCGTGTTGGCTGCTGGCCCCGCAGTGGCACCTAGGGACAGCTCTGCCGCCTGGGCTTCCTGGGAGGAAGGTGCAGTTGGCTCAAGGGCAGCCTGGCCCTCAGGTCGGAAGGTCACGTGATGCTGAATCTCCTCTCAGCCCAGGCTCCCAGGCCCCCAGTGAGTTTGTTGAGCATCTGTCATCCCTCCCTCCCCATTCTCACAAACACCTCCCAGTGACACCTCAGCCCACAGCCTTGCTCTGACAGTGGGAGCAGAGAGTGAGCGACTGCTCACAGGGCTCTGTGACTGCAGGGTTTTGAAGAGAGCGATGGCAAGAGAGCGCAGACCCTTCCCCCCTGAGCTCCCTGCACGTTTTTGGAACTTGGCACTTTAGCGTCTCCATTAGTAGGAGAGAGATGTGGCCGCTGTCCGGTTCCTGTAGCTGCCAGGAGCTCATGGTGAAGCAGGTGCGGTGGGTCGTGTTGCGGGGTCCACACGTTCCTTGCACCCCCCCGGGGGGCCGGGGGGGCAGGGTTGCCGGAAGAAATCCAGGAAGCCCAGTTATGTCTATGCTTCAGAGAAACAATGAATACTTCTTTGGTGCAAGTATGTCCCAAATATTGGGAATGGGTGTCCTATATATTTATTTGCTAAATGTGGCAGCCCTGCCACGCGCAGCTGTGACCCCAAATGGAATTGCCGGCTGGAGCCAAGACCCCTCCCACCAGGCTCTGCAACCGCAAGTCTCACAGGGGGTCCTGGACTTTGTAATCAACACTAAGGTTGTTTCTAACCTGCTTGACCTGAAGCACAACCACACCCCCACCCCGAACTTTACAGATGGGAGAGAGCATAACATCAGCGATCACCGAAGTGATTCGATCTAAGTGTAGAATTAACGTTGACCTACGTGGCTGCTCTGTGTACATACGCGTATTTATTGATAAGTACATGTTTGCAAAGATGGGTGTGGGACTCCTTCTTGTAAAAACTTGCAGGGCACCCTCTTCCCTCACCCTGCCCGCCATCTCTGGCATGTGAACTCTTCCCGTCAAGCGGGTTCTCCTGTGACAGCGGAGGTGTGACGTCACTGGTGCCGCAAGCAGGCCCTGAGGCTGGTCATGTGCAGATGCAGGTGTGGGGTTTGGAGGGATGAGGACGCCTGGGAGAAGAGTCTGAGGCAAAGGAAAAAGAAGAGATGTGACGAGGCCAGGGGCGCATTTCATCCGGGAACTGGGTGTCATAGGGCCTGTGTTTAACCTTTCCCTTCCTGAGAGCCAGAACGAGGCGGAGACAGTCCAGCGACGAGTCTCACAGGCCAGGGCGTCACCTGGCCAAGCTGACGGCCGTAAACCAGCCCCCGCCGGCCAGTCTTGCAAAGGACGAGGTTCTAGAGACAGGAGACTACGGAGTGGGAGGAAGGCCGTGGACTTCTTTCCCAGGTGCCTGCTTCTCCCGTGACAGATTCTGTTCCGTTTTCCTCGACTCTGGTCTGTGTTTCTCTGGCTGCCACCTGCTTTGGCTCACGTGCTGCTTTTGGCTCGCCACTGATTTCATGCTGTTCTGAGGCACTTCCATCTCCCGCTGCTGGTTGACTCTCCATTCTCCAGTCGAGATCCCTGAGAGGAGGATCTGCTTCAGCCAGTCCATCTCTTTCAGCTAAGCCACTCGGGCCCCTTCAGCCCACAGATGGGTGTCTTTGGAGTAGGCGGCCGAGATGGTAGGGTCAGAGGGCTGTGGAGGGCAGTGTACCCCAGCCGGGGCCATGGACATGGCCAGGACCCCCAAGTACATCTGACACACTAGACAGGAGCTGGCAGCCCCTTGCTGACCTGCTGTACTTTGGGTATTTCCAGGGCAGAGTGGATCTCCGTTGCCCCCCTGGCCAGCAGGCCCCCTAATCCACACAATGGGACTGTGACGGTGGACACTGCTGGGGACCCCCGCACACTTGCTCTCCGTGGATGATGGATGACAACACACTCTCTGAACACCCAGAACCCGTGGAATTTCTCAACGTCTGTTTGAGCGACAACCTGCAGCCCCACCCAGGAGTACAGCCCAGGGAAACGAGCAGCCGTCCTGACCCGCCTGGACCTTTGCAGGAACTGACCTGGGCGTCGGACCCTTCTGAGTCCACGGGGAGGCGAGATGCTCATGCCGGGGGCTCTAGGGCCGAGCCCGAGGGCCTGGGGAGCGGGTCTTCCCAGGGGGGCCCACAGCAGAACCCCAGCTCGTCCACGCAGGTGGTGTTCTGGGCGGGCATCCTGCAGGCCCAGATGTGCGTCCTGGACCTGGAGGAGGAGCTGGAGAAGACTGAGGGGCTCCGGGCCGAGCTGAGGTCCTGCATCCCCACGGCCCCTGTGGACCTCCCCCCGTTCCCCTCCAGCCCGGCGGCCCCCCTGGATCCGGGCCCCCCCGCCAGCCCTCCCTCAGGGGAGGACAGCAGCAGGCCTGAGGGAGAAAGCCAGACCCAGGTGTCCCCTGGGGAGGGGACGCCAGACTCCTCCCCAGAGTGGGGTGCCGAGGAGGAGAGCCTGTTCTTTGACAACCCCCTCTTCCTGGAAAGCCCTGGCTCAGAGACCAGCGCTCCCAGAGAGCGCTTCTCCTGGGGGCACCCCGACTCCTGTGCTGTCGAGGACGATGATGGGAGGCCTGAGAGCCCGCAGACCCTGGAGCCTCCTCTCCTGCTGGGCAGGGTGCCGTGGGGGCTGGGCGATGAGCCAGACTCCGGGGACAGCACGGCTGAGTCCAGCGGGCACACCACCCCTCCGTTCCCTGTGCCCACCTACAAACCACACTCCTTCTCCTGGGCTGAATTGGACAGCGCCCAACAGGCTCCCGCAGCACCTCCCTGCTGGGCAGGGAGCGAGGTAAGCTGGGCCTTGGGCACCCACCCAAGTGGGGGGCCGGGCCTGGGACACAGAAGGACAGGCCTTGCTCTGTGGTCGCCGGCCCAGACACTCTCCACATGCCGGGGCCTTTGGGGACCCTGGAGAAATAAGACAGGAAGGCAGGACCAGCGAGGCCTTTAGAATTATGGGAAAGTGGACAGATACTGCCATGGGCACTGAACGTCCGTCCGCACCATTACATCCACGTCTCCATCTCGCCAGCTCAGGGGCGTGGCTGGGCACAGGGGGTTGGGTTAGGGTGGGGGGGGGGGCGGTAGCCCCTCCAGGTGCAGCCTGTTCCTGCCCATCCTCAGACTGTTCTCTCCCTCCTCCAACACACCCCAACCCCAGCCGTAGCTGCAGGGGTCAGCTGCAAGGTGCCCTCTGCCCCCAGGAGGTTTCTGTCCATCAGTCCTCTCTTTGCTTAGAGGCTGCAGCATTTTGTTACTTTTAGCTCACCATCTCTCATTCCTCCTCCCGCCCAGTGTCAGCGGGTCAGGCCCACAGGAGGGTGGCAGCCGCGCTTGCTATCAGCGAGGACAGTTCTGGGGACAAGTGTGCGAGACAATAGGGGCACAGTTTTCCCAGGGCGGCCTCTGCTGAAGAGATAAGGCAGCTTCAGATGGCGGAGCAGGGCCGTGACTCTAATCTCAGAACCCAGAGGCCGCGGAGGCCTGCTGCCCGGAGGGGATCCCCCCACCCAGGCTGCCCCCCGCCCCCATGTGGGCTGGCCTCCTGGCTCTGGGGCCCTGGGGGTCACCGAGGGAAGCCTGGGGCCCTGTCCTCCTTGAGCTTGCAGGGTGCTCCCACCGGGCATGGCAGACCCTGCCCGTGGCCGCCTGGGGGCTGTTGCCCTCCCCATCACACAGCCCCTCCTTGGGCTGGTGCTGCGGGAGGCAGGGCCCCCGGGGGGACTGTGGAGGGGAGAGGACGGGCTGAGAAAACAAGTCAGTGGACATGGCCTGGGGCTCGGAGGGTATGGGATGCCCTGGGGATTGCTTCCCAGGGTCAAACCGCTCTCCTCTCCTTTTCTCCCCTAAGACTTCTCTGGCAGGCGGCCTTGGCCCTGCAGCATCCTCTGTGGACAAGGCACTGACCTGGGACACAGGGCATGTCAGATCTGACCCCAGCCCTGCCACCCATCCTGTGCATCCTCCGGCAAGTACCTTCCCTCCCTGTGCCTCCCCTCCCCTCTCTGCGCAGGGCTCAGCACCAGCACTCCTAGGGTCCTCCCCTCCAGGATCCTCCGCGGGACGCAGGATCCCCGCTGGGTGGGCCAGCACAGCAGGCGGGGCGTGTCACTGTTAGTCATTCTCTTCCCTCTCCCTCCCCTTCCATTCTCAGGGCCTCCAGGGCTCATGGATACCCTGTGCCTCTCAACAGGCCCTGCCCCGTCCTGAGGGCGGGCAGACAGAGCAGGGCCCTTCCTGGCCCCAGGTGCCTCTTACCTCCCAGGACAGAGGTGAGACCCAGTGGAGGGCCCGGGACTTGGGGCGGTGGGAGGCTTTGCCATCTGGAGTGGGACAAAGGTCATTCTTGGATCCGTGGGTGTTATGAGGGCCCCCCTGTTAGATAGACCTGTGACATCATCAGGACCATGGGTTTACGTACTCCCCTCACTGAGGAAATGTACGGGAGACCCAGGCCTGGGTCCTAGTGGTTCACCTGCCCGAGCCTGGCTGCCTTGGGGCTGGGATCCCGGGAGCCCTATGCCCTGCACGTGGGAGGACACCGCCCGGAGGAGGGACTGGACGTGCTCCCCAGCGGCAGGGAGGAGCCCTGGGAGGGGGCCCAGGGAGGAGGCCGAGGGCTGTCTGCTCTGCCAGGCCCCGGGCCCCCAGCCTGCTGCTCGCCCGCTGCCAGCTCACTCCACTCTCCCGCAGGTGACAGAGATGCCGAGTGTCCCCAGGAGTCTGCTCCCTGCACCCCTGGCCCCCGCCCCTGGTGGGGCCCAGCCTCTTCGCCGGAGCCCAGCAGCCCTGAGTCTGAGAGCAGAGGCCTCGGGCCCAGGCCCAGCCCCGTGTCCTCATCCTCCTGGGAAGGCAGCCCGCAGCCCCAGGGCTGCCACCCCAGCAGCACCTTCCCCACGTGGACACTAGACGCTTCCCGCCTGGCCCTCCTGGAGACGCAGGTGGCACAGCCACAGTCCTCAGAGACAGAGGAGGCCTCCGAGGCCCCGGACCCAGGGGAGGAGGTGAAGAGTGAGGGTCCTGCGGGCACTGCCCACGCCGGAGCTGTCCAGCCCGATGCTCACCTGGCTTCCACAGGAGGGTAAGTGCGGGCTGGCAGCGGCTCCTCCTCAGGCGCGTCCGGGGGTCCTGGTCTGGGAGTGGGAGCAGCGCACGCAGGGATTTGGCGCTCCTGTTAGTTAAGCCGGGATCGTGTGCCTGGCACCAGCAGGGCTCTGAGGAAGACAGGGCAGGTTTGGAAGCATCGGACACCAAAGAGCAGACAGTCATACACATGGGGTGGGATCTGAGCCAGAGCCTGTCCAAGGCTGGACAGCAGGAGGGGCGAGTGTCCGGGAAACCAAGCCAGGCCCATGTGCCCAGAGAGATGGGAGCCACGCCAGGTAGGTGTGGGCGTGGGAGGTCAGAGCACGGGACGTGGGGTTGCACAGGCTTTGACTCTGAGGAGGCATCTGGGAGAAGTTAACGTAGGAGCCTGGGCCCGGGAGCTGGCTCAGATCTCAGGGGAGCCGGAGCACCACGGTGGGCTTTCCTGGGACCAAGGGAAGGGGTCTGGGGGCTCAGAGCAGCCCGAGTAACCCAGAACTGAGGCCAGAGGTGGGAACAGGCCAGGTGGGAAGCCAGCCTCATTCCGCCCCTCCAGATGGGGGTGAAGACACCAGCCCCTGGTGTCCCAATGGGAAAGGGGGTTGTTCTCTGGCTGGCGAAGGAGAGGTCATACTGGAGAGGCCAGGAGGAAGCAGTGGTGGTGCAGGTCCTGGACCTGAAGCTGCACTGCCTGCAGGGTCAACCCCACTCCCATCCCTATGCCCCTGCATGTAGCTTAGAGCCCATCCTATGACATCACAGAGCCCATCCTATGACATCACAGAGCCCATCCTATGACATCACAGAGCCCTTCCTATCAGATCACAGAGCCCATCCTATCAGATCACAGAGCCCATCCTATCACATCACAGAGCCCTTCCTATCAGATCACAGAGCCCATCCTATGACATCACAGAGCCCATCCTATGACATCACAGAGCTCATCCTATGACATCACAGAGCTCATCCCATCATATCACAGAGCCCATCCTATTGGATCACAGAGCCCTTCCTATGACATCACAGAGCTCATCCCATCAGGATCACATGGCCAATCCTATAAGGATCACAGAGCCCCTCCTATCACATCACAGAGCCCATCTATTCAGATCACAGAGCCCATCCTATTAGGTCAAGAGTCCATCCTATCAGGATCACAGAGCCCCTTCTATCAGATGACAGAGCCCCTCCTATCAGATCACAGAGCCCCTCCTATAGGATCACAGAGCCCCTACTATCACGTCACAGAGCCCATCCTATCAGATCACAGAGCCCATCCCATTACATCACAAAGCCACCCAATCGGATCACAGAGACCATCCTATCACATCACAGAGCTCATCCTATGACATCACAGACCCCATCCTATCACATCACAGAGCCCATCCTATCATATCACAGAGCCCATCCTATTTGATCACAGAGCCCTTCCTATGACATCACAGAGCTCATTCTATCATATCACAGAGCCCATCCTATCACATCACATAGCCCATCCTATCACATCACAGAGCTCATCCTATCGGGATCACAGAGCCCATCCTATCTGACCACTGAGCCCATCCTATCAGATCACAGAGCCCATCCTATCAGATCACCCAGCCCATCCTATTGGATCACAGCGCCCTTCCTATCAGATCACAGGGCCCATCCTTTTGGGCCACAGAGTCCAATCTATCACATCACAGTGCCCATCCTATCTATCAGATCACAGTGCCCATCCTATCGGATCACAGAGCCCTCCTCCTCGGGCACCTGGCCACTCCACTGTCCTTGGAGATGCAGAGGCTGGGCCATCACCGGGGCTCAAAATCTAGACAGAGAGGGACCCTCTCCCAAAACCAGTTACTTCAGCCCAAAATAAATCAAGGAGACCCATCTCAAATGAGAACCGTACTTCTGGAGTAAATAATGAAAGGGTTAATTGGGGCCTTTCTTGGTAAGTGATACTAAAGATTCCATAAATAAGCATATTGAGTCTTATATTTAACACAATAGAAGAGGTTTAATTTTCCAGGCATAAGCTTGCTGGCCCCATAGCTATCTTTCATTCACACACAACTTTCACAGTGAGATCACCGGGGCTTATTTCATTTTAGTAACAGCTCTGTTAAGATACAAATCACTCTTGAAGGTGTACAATCCATGGCAATTTATATTTGCAGAGGGGGCTTTTCCCTCCCAAGTGTCTCTCCATCCCGATACCATTTTAGGAAGAGCACCAACTGACAGGGTCATTTTGGTAAAGTATTTTAGGGCTTCGTCCGCCGATCATCCATAGAGTTAGTTGTCTGTAGATGGGACAAGTGTGTCTGTTTCACTTCCTGCTCTTCACTGTTCGCCGGACTAACTCTCCCGGCTTCTCGGTCAGTGGCTTTCCGTGTGGTTCCTGGCATCTTCCCGCATCACTTTCCCCGACTTCATCAAAGCCTGCGAGTTTTTGCCAGATTCGTTACTTTACTTTTCAGTTGGTTTGTATTCTGTTTGCCCTGCCCTGTTGGGTGTGTCTGAGCATCAGGACCTTGTAAGAAGTTCCCAGCAGACATGGAGCCCATTCCTTGGCGAGAGGGCCCTTATCAGTGAGATTCTCAGGTTAGGATGAGTTCTGCTTCCCTGCACAATCCCTCACTGTGGCAGCTTGGATAGCGAGCATTCAGATAATGACGATACCAGGGCGGGGTGGTGCTGTTGCCAGGGCAACCGAAGCGTTGGGTGGAGGTGGGACTGGTGACCTCTGAGGGTCTGCGTGTCAGACTGAGTTGGTGGGGTGGCCGGCCGGCACTCACTCGTGCCAGGCCACCATCTTGTCCTGTCTCCACGGGAAGGCCTTCCCCCGCACCAGGGAGAGACAGCGCAGGGCGACGCCCCGCCTTCGCCACCCCGAAGCCAGTCTGGCTTCCTCTTCTTGCCTCATCCAAGCACCTTCCTTGGTCGCAGGTCTGGCCGGTCGCAGGTCTGGCTGGTCGCAGGTCTGGCCGTGGAAGCTGGAGCTGGAGGGTGTGGGAGGGGCAGGCGTGCTGAGGGCTCCTGCAGGACCTGACCCAGAACCCATGTGTGCCCATCCACGTGAGAGAGAGGACACGATGGCCTTTTGCAGGCTTCCTGAGAGCCCCGTGCCCCAAGGCAAATCCCCAGAGGAGGGCCAGGGGCCACAGGCTGCAGACAAGCTGGCCAACGGCGTCAAGACGGACAAGCGGGCCTGGGACCTGGCCTCCCGCCTCTATCGCCTGGAGGGTTTCCGGAAGTCCGAGGTGGCCGTGCACCTGCGGAAGAAGTAAGGGGCTCAGCCTGAGCGAGGGGCCCTTCCCTTGGGTGAGACGGGCAGGCTTGCTCCACCATCCACCCCTCCCCAACCCTTCAGCCCATTGTTGCCCTCTCACCCCATCGTCCTGTCCTGGTTGTACCCGTCCCCTGTCCAAACCTTCCTCTTCCTGTCACACTGGTGTCACCCCTTCTCCACACACTTGACCCAGTTTAGAGCCATTGGATTGGCCAGTTTGCCTCCCAGCCCTGATCACGTGTGGCCCTGCCACCCAGCATGAGGTGGGGGCCGCTACAGATCAGACCCTGGCTGTCCCTTGCCCTCTCGGGTCCCAGGGTCCGGCTGGCTGGGCCTTTGCCTTGCTTGGGGCCCCCAGTCCCAATTCCCAGGCCCTGGGATGTGTGCAGACCTGGGGTTCCCCCTGTGCCTGTGCCTCCTGCCCCCTCCTCCACCCAGACATGATCTCCATTTCCCTCCACAGCAATGACTTCAGCAGGGCTGTGGCTCAGGAGTACCTGTCCTTCTTCCAGTTCGGTGGCCAGAGCCTGGACCGGGCCCTTCGGTAACGCCTGGGCCCTCCCTGGGGAGGAGGGGTGGCCGGGCAGACCCTGCCCGAGCTCGGGGCCTGCTGTCCAGCCTGAGGAGGGGTGGCCGGGCAGACCCTGCCAGAGCCCGGGGCCTGCTGTCCAGCCCGGGCCTGTCCTGATCCGGGCCTCCTCCAGGAGCTTCCTCCAGGCGCTGGTGCTCAGCGGGGAGACCCAGGAGCGGGAGCGAGTCCTGTTCCAGTTCTCCAGGCGCTTCCACCACTGCAACCCCGGGCTCTTCTCCTCAGTAGGTAGGAGGGCAGGGCTCTGGTGCCGCGGGTGGAGGGAGCCTGCTCGGGAGTTCCCTGCTCAGGAGTTCCCTGGTGGCAGCGGGTGGGTGTGCTTGGGGGCTGTGGAGAACCAGAAGCACTTGGGGGTGCCCTGCCCAGTGTGGGCAGAGCGAGAGCCGAGTCCGGTCCCAGCACTTTCTCTCCACTCACCTCCCTGGGACAGATTCTGTGCACACCTTGACGTGCGCCATCATGCTCCTGAACACGGACCTGCACGGCCAGGTGAGCAGGTGGGGATAGCGTCTGTGGGACCGGAGGCCTAGGAGGGGCCAGGAAGGACCGTGGGGAAGTGGAGAAGGTTCCAGGGTGGCTGGCCGGGTGCTTCCTCTTGGTGGGGGTGCCAGCTGTCCTGCTTCTCTCTGTGCCGCAGAACATTGGGAAGAGCATGAGCTGCCAGGAATTCATAAGCAACCTGAACGGCCTGCAGGACGGCGGGAACTTCCCCAAGGAGCTGCTGAAGGTGCGCTGCCAGGGCTGCCCACGGAAGGCTCCCTACCTCCCAGGGCCTGAGCCGGGCTCCTGGTCCCCAGGGGATGCTGCGCTTGGGCCTGGCTTCACCCAAATATCCGGCAAGGACAGGGCCCCTTGACTGACTGCAGTGTCACCGGGGGATTTTTAGCTCATGCAAACGCCCAGCCCTGCCCCGGGCCTCCTGGACCAGACTTCTGGGGCTGGAGCCCCCAAAATGGTCACAAAGCTCGATTCTGAGGCCTGTGAAATCGGAGAAGCACTGTTTTTTTCTTCTCTAAGTGAAAAGAGGCAAAACTTCAAAAAGAGAAAGTCTAGAGCCAGTGCTCCGGCGTTTGAATTCTTGTCTTGGACAGTATAACACGTGGCCAACTTGGGTTCCTCCTGGGGTCGAACCACTGAAGAATTGTTGTCACAACGACATCAAGTGAGTCAGGAGCTCACACAGTGCCTGGCACACAGTGTGCTCATTAGCAATCGCAGCATTTCTTGAGCACTTATTAGGTGCCAGGCACCTGCAGGTGTGCCCAGGACTACACAAAGCTGGCAGGATGCATCTATGTGAATACTGTTACATCATGTGAAAGCTCAGCACCTCATTCATTCATTCACTGTAGTCATTGGCCCCATCAGTCAGCCGGCCCTGCTCTGGCAGCCCCCTCCATGCAGGATGGTATGTGGACGAGTCCTTTGGAGAGAAGTTCAGGCCTCGCTGAGCTCAGGCAGAGACTAGGACAGCACAATGTCCGGCACATGGCAAATGCCCCATGGTCGGCGGCATGCATGTGTGCGTGCGCAGATGAGCTCCTTCCCATTCGTGGAAGGGGGGCAGCTGTGTTGGGTGGAAGAGGCAGGCTGCAGCACCCCCCACCCTACTTCTGCCAGATGGAGTTTGGGCCTCGCAGCCTGAGGCTCCCTGACCACCGTGTGCCTCTGTTCCAGGCCCTGTACTGGTCTATCCGGAGTGAGAAGCTGGAGTGGGCCGTGTAAGTGACCTTCCCTCCCCACACTCCTCACTTCCCTCCCCATCCTTCCCCTCCCATGCCCACCTGAGGGCGGGTAACACCTGGAGGAGCCAGGGGTGGGGTGGGGGGGGGGGCTTGCGGAAGACGGAACAGATGGGTTGGCTTTGAAAGATTTCTTCTGGGGTGTCCTGAGATGTGGCTCCCCAGTGAGAGAGAAAGGGTGGGGGGCCCTGTCAGCACCTCAGCCTGCTTCTCTCTGTTCAGGGACGAAGAAGACGAAGCCAGACCCGAGAAGGCCCGGTCCTCACCACTCGGCGGCAAGATGAGCAGCCCCTTCCTCCAGCCGGCCCTGGACCCCACGGGGCCCACCTACAAGCAGGGCATCCTGGCTCGGAAGATGCATCACGACGTGGACGGCAAGAAGAGTGGGTGCCGGCTGCCATGCGGGGCCTCTGTCTGTGGGGTGCGGGGGGCTCTGCTCAGGGACACGTGCTGATGTGTGCACAGGGTAACTGCCTCGACAGTGACTGTGTGAGGCACAGCCGGGAGGGTGGGGGGCAGACCCAGGAGGGACCCGCTATTTCTGCCCCTGAGCCCCGTGCTGAGGCAGAAGCCAGACAAGCACGTCGGTGTGTGACTGTAGGAAGGGCCAGATCAAGGATGGGCTGTGGAGGGGGCGAGGTTTGGGATTCTGTTTTGGGGTGGATGTGGGAGACAACAGGTTCAGGCTCCTGGGAAATGATGAATCTGAGCTGAACCTCGGAAGGTCTGGGTATCTGAAGCTGGGCAGAGGGTGTCCCTCATGAGGAAGGAGCAGACATAGTTTGTTCCAAACATGGCGGGTGTGAGAGAGGACGCTGGGAAACGCACTGGGGGCAGCATCGCCCAGGTCTGCAGTTGGGCCTCATGCCCAGGTGGCTGGAGCTGTAGAGCAGGGCACCAGCATGACGAGGGCACCAGCAGCCAGGGCACCAGCATCCCACAGGCCCGTGCATGCGGTGACCACAGGGAGCAGGCCCTCTCCTGCCCACGGGCTCCAGCCCCGTGCCTCTCGGGAAGGGCCCATGAAGTTGAGGTCATCCGCAGGGCCCTGAAGGATGTCCGAGCTGGGGCTGTGCTTGTGTCTGGAGAGGGGATGGCCTGTCGAATTTGTTGTCTGTCAATAGTTCTCATCTGTTTGGGTTTCCATGGTGACTGCCTGTGTGTAGGACGTGGCCCATGCCTGTTTGTGACTGTGTTTTGTATGTCTGAGTGATTCTGTGCACCTGGGGCTGGGGGCTGGAGCTGGTGTGAGGGGTGAAAAGCAGGGGCCTGGGCGTATCTGTGGGTATCTGGGTGGGGTGCCCCCACTCACCTGTGCGTTCCGCTCCTGGGCAGCGCCATGGGGCAAGCGTGGCTGGAAGATGCTCCACACCTTGCTCCGAGGGATGGTCCTCTACTTCCTGAAGGTAGGCAGGGTGTCCACATCCCGGTGAGGGGGTGGGGGGAGGGGGAGGGGGCGGGGGGGGGACAGGGGAAGGCCCAGAATGGTGAGGGGCCGCTACTGAAAACCTCTTTCCTGAGCCGCTGTGCCATGGCAGGGAGGGGACCACGGCCCCGAGGGGGAGAGTTTGGTGGGGCAGATGGTGGACGAGCCCGTGGGGGTGCACCACTCGCTGGCCACGCCGGCCACCCATTACACCAAGAAGCCACACGTCTTCCAGCTGCGGACTGCCGACTGGCGCCTCTACCTCTTCCAGGCACCGTGAGTCTGGGTGGGAGACAAGCAGAAGGCCCCGCTTCCTGTCCCCTGAGCCCTGCTCCTCTGAGGGCTGCGGCCCTCCCTGATGGGGCTGCCACCTGGACAGCAGACCTCAGGCACCCTGCTGAGGGGCTCTGAATGCACCCCAAGGCGGGCTCCTGCAGCCACGCCCGCCCACGGCCCACTTGGCCAGGGAGCGGCTCTGCCCTGTCAGCCCAGGTCAGCCTCCCAGGTTTGAACAGAGGACTCTGGGGTAACGATGACATCATTTTGGGGGCATTTGATGTAAAATCTGTTGCCGTCTGAATTTTCCTCTTTGGTGAAGGGAAAATGCACCCGCGGAGGTCAGCCACTCTGCTAGCCACAGGGCTTCTGGCTTCTTGGGGCTCCAGTCCTGAGATGCTGGACTGCCCTGCCGGGAGAACACCGGAGCTGGGGGCGGGGGTAAGCCACAGGACAGACTCGGAGGCCCTGGGGACCCCTGGGGACCCGCTGCCTCTCTGCCCTCAGCACTGCCAAGGAGATGAGTTCCTGGATCGCGCGCATCAACCTGGCCGCCGCCACGCACTCAGCGCCGCCCTTCCCGGCCGCGGTGGGCTCCCAGCGGAGATTCGTGCGGCCCATCCTGCCCGTGGGCCCTGCCCAGAGCTCCCTGGTACGGCCTCGGGGAGAGGCGGGTGCGGCAGGGGGTGTGGTGGGGTGCGCGCACTGGAAGACTAGAGGAGATGGGGGCCGGGGTTGCGTACCTGGCCCCGGGAGGAGGAAGGCTGCTGCTGAAGCTGCACATCTGGCTCTGGGACCTGAGGGGTTGGGGGGGAGGGGGCGGGGAGCCGGGTGCTGCGCTCCTGGGCCCGGAAGGAGGGGGAGATCGGGATTGCTTCTCCCTCCGCCTCCCGCAACTAGGAGGAGCAGCATCGGTCCCACGAGAACTGCCTGGACGCTGCCTCCGACGACCTGCTGGATCTGCAGAGGAACTTACCCGAGCGGCGGGGCCGCAGCCGGGAGCTGGAGGAATACCGCCTGCGGAAGGAGTACCTGGAGCACGAGGTGAGCCGCCGGCCCCCGTCCGCCCCCTGGTGGCCGCGTCCGGCCCTGCAGCCTTCGCTCCCCTGTGGCTGGCGAGGTGCTGTCTGCGCTCTTGCGCTTGCGCAGGGCGTGTCCTGTTCTGGGATCACGGACCAGCTGCTTATCTGAAACGCTATTAAGGGACATTATTTTTATAACTGTTTTCTCCTGAGAGTATATTTGGCAGGAAAAAGTATTTTATATTATTTCCCCTAACACCTACCTAATAATAGGCTGTATTTGTGGCGCTTGTATTACTTGCTCGGGTTATCTTGTTAAATTACCTAACAACTCTGGGGTAGGGACTATGACCCTCCTTTTACAGATGAGGGAACTGAGGCATCGAGAGAGCAAATGAGTCACCCAAACCTGATCAGTGTAGATGCTACTCCAGTCTTAACGAAGGAATGACTTTTATTAGCGCTACGATCGACCCGAAATGTCTCAACGCCCTACCCCACCCCAAGCTCTGCTTTGGCCTGATGCTGGTGCACATTCTAGAACAGGGGTCCTCAAACTACGGCCCGCGGGCCACATGCAAATACAAATATTGTATTTGTTCCCGTTTTGTTTTTTTACTTCAAAATAAGATGTTCAGTGTGCATAGGAATTTGTTCATAGTTTTTTTAAACTATAATCCGGCCCTCCAACAGTCTGAGGGACAGTGAACTGGCCCCCTGTTTAAAAAGTTTGAGGACCCCTGTTCTAGAACCTAAGCAGCCAGTGCAGGTGAGGGGCAGTGTGACAACAGAGGGGTCAGAGGTGATCCAGAGGCAGAGACCAGAGATGCAATGGTCAGCGTCACCTGCTGGCTGTCCCACCCTCACCTCCTGGTCGTGCCCTCTGGCTTTTTGTTGCACTTATGGCTGTGAGCACTCCATTTCCCAGAGGCCCCAGGTGTGGGCCACAGGTCCCAGGCCTGCCTGCAGAGCTCCCGCCACAGACCAGAGGGGTCTTTAGCAGCCGCCAGCCCTCTGGAGCCCTCCTGTCCTCCTTTACGAGCAGGGTCCTGATGGTACCCCACCCAACCTCCCAGGCTGGGACAAGGAAGTGACCTCAAGGGGTGCCCCCACCCATACCTCCAGGGCTGGGATGACGGCCTCATGGGACAGAGGGTGGGAAAGCACCGAACAAGCTAGAAACCGGATCTGGAGGTGATGGTTACAGAGTCCTTAGGAGTGTGAGCAGACGAGGGCGGTTAGCATCGTGCTCTCCAGATGCCAGTTGTTAACACGCCGCTCAGACTCAGCCAGGTTTCAGCGCAGGCGTGAGTCGTCGTGTGCAGCACTGCACGGGTCTCAGGCCTGCTGGGTCCTGGCCTTTCGGTGTCTGGGAGATGTTGGTTACAGCGCCCGTTGTTGGCCGTTAGAACAGGGCTGGCTGATCTGTGTTACTGTCAGACTGTCCAGATAGTGGCAGGGCTCTAACACGCTACTGCTGTGTTCCCTCTCTCTGCAGCAGTTTTTATTGCCATAGCTTCACACACATGTTATCTGTCCGTCCCCCGTTATCCCAGCCTCCTCCCCACCCGGAGCCAGGCGGTGCTTAAGGGGGGGGTGCCTGTGTGTTGCAGAAAACCCGCTATGAGATGTACGTGCAGCTGCTGATGACCCGTCTGCACTGCCCCTCGGATGACCTGGACCTGTGGGAGGAGCAGCTGGGGAGGGAAGCCGCAGGCCCCCAGGAGCCCAAGCCCAGCCTGAAGAAGTCCCACTCCAGCCCCTCCCTGCACCAGGACGAGGCCCCCACCACCGCCAAGGTGAAGCGCAACATCTCAGAGCGCAGAACCTACCGGAAGATTATCCCCAAGCGGAACCGCCATCAGCTGTGAAGCGTCACTCACAGACTTTGGCCCCTGCTCTGGGGCGGACCTGGGATGCAACCCTGTGGGATGGAGGGGAGGACCCTGCTCTGCTGAGGGACAGGCCTCTCTGAGTCTGCCGGAGTACTGCTCTGCCCTGCTCTGCCCTGAGTCAGGTCCTCAGCCACCCTGGTCCCTGGCCACTCCCGGGGGAGGAGAGAGACCAAAGATTTGGCTCCACTCCCAGAGTTTGTCCCATGTCACTCTTCACTCCTCCAAAATCCAGAACGGCCCCTTTTCCTGGGCCTGGGGCAGCTCAGCGCTTGTGGGGGAGGCAGAGCAGATGGTCCCTGCGCTTCCAGGAGAGAGCCTGGGGCAGCCGAGGCCTCTGGGCGGTGGTCGGTCAGGCCCCGGGGATAGTCTTGTTTTGGGAATCAGGTGACCTGCTGCTGGGAGAGGCCCAGGAAGACCCCTCCCCCCCCAAGCCTCCCGTTGCCCAGACCCTGCTCAGGGTGGGGCCACTGTCAGGGGCAGGGCCTTGAAGGTAGGCAGGTGGCAGGGCTCCCGGAGGCTGGCTCTGGGGACTGCACCTTTGTCTCCTCATCCCTACAGCCGGCCCTGCACCAGGGCCAATGAGAGTGCCCCACCTCCATGCCCAATTGCTAATCAACAGAGCAGAGCCAATGGCCCCAAAGCGGTGGGGGCTCCAGGGCTCTGGGGAGCCCTGAACAAGGGGCCTTTGTGTCCCCAGCGCCAGGAAAGAGGCTCAGATCCCTGGGGAGGCTGAGGAAGAGGTGGTGACACAGCCACTGGGGCTCTCCTAGCAGGAGCTGCCGCTGTGGAAGGGTTGAGAGTCATGGTGGAGGCCTGGACCCCCTCCCCACACCCCAGCCCTTAAAGCTCCATTCCCCAGGGGCACCAGGACCCTCTGGGCCCCTGCCCTCCCTGTATGTCCACTAGAGCTGTCCTCTGGCTACTTTCAGCTGGGCCTGTTCTCAGGGTGGGGCAGGGGGTGGGGAGGGCTCTGGACACCCACGGATCTGAGGCTGTGCCAGTGGGAAGGAGGCTGGGCTGGGGGAGCAGCCACCATTGTCTCTGTTCAGCCAAGTGTGCCCACAGGCTGCCCGCCAAGAGGGGCCTCTGCTGCCTGCCTGCCGCCTGCTGGCTGACGCACTGCCTCTCCACCTTCCTGCTGGGCCTCTCCCTCCCATCCATGCTTGTAACCAGCCCTGTGGCCTGGAACTCTCCCAAGCTGGGCTGGCCCTGGGGGCCACGAGAGGTTTCTGACCAGGGCCAGGGGCTGAGCCATGCACCCAATGGGTGTGCAATAAATACAGGCCAATGAAGAAAGGTGTGCACGAGTGTGTGAGGGTGGAGGGTTGGGCAGCTGGGCCACCTGTTCTTTGTCAGGCTGTATCCCCTCTGCCCTGTGGGCATATGCACGTCTATGAGTATGTACACGTGTCTGCATGTGTATCTGTGTTTATGCATGTCTGTGCATGTGTGTCTGTGTGTCTGCATGTGCATGCCTGTCTGCAGGTGTGTTTGTGTGTCTGTGTGGATGCATGTCTGTGCATGTGTGTGTGTGTCTGTGCATGTGTGTGGAGCATTGTGTGCTTGTGTGCAGGAGTCACACATTTACTATCAAACTGGAGGGGACCTCAGAATCGTTTATTCACCCACTCGTTCATTTATTCACTTCACAAATAATATCGACCACTTTTCATGGGTCAGTGCTAAGGAGCTAAAAATGAATGGACCATGTCCCTGACCTCCCGGAGGGGACGGTGCTGCTCTGGTTCCCAGCGGTCGGCATGGAGACACTCATCTCTCTGTGCGGTGAGCTGAAGACACCATCCCACCCGCCCCCAGGGTTTGGGCCCAGTAGCGTTGGTTCCAGGGCGTGGAACTAGCCACCCCTAGGCCCTGGGTCGCTCTGACATACGACACAGGTAACAGGACGCAGAGTCCGGTCAACCCATGTTATGGAGGTGGAAGCCTGGTTTCAGGTGGACATGACTAGGGCCAGAACTGGCACTGAGCCCGATGGCCTTGGATGAGGTATTTGACCTGACTGGACGCGGATCCTTATTCTAAAACAAGAATGAAAGGCAGAGGGTGTCTGCCCGTGCGCGTGTGTATAACACTCGATGCTTCTTTGCTCATGAAGAACTGGCACCTCCTTTCACTTGGGCACATGAGGCCTGTGGATCCAGGGGCGGGTGCCCAGGTCCTGGCCCGTGGTGCCAGGCTACTCATGCCAGAGGCCTGGCGGGTGGAGACTGGGCTGTTGGGCTGCAGTTATGGTGGGTGGCCACTGGGGGGCGGGCTTGCATCTTCCTGGCTTCTGGGCCCAGGTGCTTGCTGCAGCCCTGGGCTCACGGATGGCAGGAAGCCAGCCTGTCCTGCCATCTACAGAATCAGGAGTGGCTCGGGCCAGGCCTCCCACATCCAAACCCGTCTCCACCACACCAAGGGTAGGGACTTTGACATCGTCCTGCAGATGAGAGGAACATTTTTTCTGGACCCTTATGGGGACAGCCTAGAGCAGCGGTCACCAACTGGTGGTCTGTGAGGTCCGAAAGGCTGGCGGCCGCTGGCCTAGAGCCCCCCACAGAAGTGTCCCAGGTGACCTAGGAAAGTGAGAACAAGCCCACTCCCGGTGTGGGGCAGGTCGGATCCTCCAGCCTACATTTGACCTTCTTGCCACCCCACCTGTCTTCCCCCTGAGACGAGCTGGGTGCTGCAAGCTGGCAGAGTGGGTCTGAGTCCTCCTTCCCATCCAGGGGAGCTCAGGCTCCAGGGCCCTGAGCTGTCCTGACCCGGGTGGGACTGGACTCTTCCTGTCTCAGCATCGGCCAGGTCTGGCTTTCTGCTGATGACAACCTCTGTCTGTGGTTTGCCAGGCACCGCGGAAGAATAAAAGGTCGCACGGCCTTGGCCTGGGGTTTTCCTCCGGGGGCTCAGAGTCAGAAGGAAACAAATGGGGTGCGTCGGGGTTGGAAGGAGCTGGGCTGGAGGGTGGGGCAGGCAGGTTGAGGAAGGCACAATGTAAGAAGGGCCCGAGGCCAGATCCCCAAGGACCTCACCGGAAGCTCAGGAGTGTGGCTTTCCAGCGGAAGAGGGACGTGCAGGGCTTGGAAACAGCCTAGGAGCCTTGCTTTCAGAGGACAAAACGACTCGAGTGAGTAAGGCCAACTGGCAGGGTCCGAACGTGGCCTGGAGATGCTCTTGCTATTAGTGCAACTATGCTGTAAGCCAAAATAAATTTAAAAAATGAGGTGTGTGTGTGTGGGGGGGTCAGCAGCCTGGAACCTGGGACAAGGTGGTGATCCCACACCTGGCTCTCCTCCTCCCTTGTTCTCCCTGCCCCCAGGTGCTCCCAGGGACTTACAGGTGTCCAGACTGCCTGCTCTCTCTCATGGCTCCTCACACCTGTGCCTCCAGCTCTTCTGGATGCTGCATCCTTCACCATCAACTGTGGCTCACACCTTCACCTGTCCCTCACACCTTTACTTGTCCCTCACACCTTCACCTGTCCCTCACACCTTTACTTGTCCCTCACACCTTCACCTGTCCCTCACACCTTTACTTGTCCCTTCCTCCTCTGTCTCAGTAGTGAGAAGTGCTCTCTGTGTTCCTGAGCTGATCCCTCCCCTGAGCCCACACACAGCCCACCAGCTCCTCCCGTCACCATGAACTGTCTCCCTCAGGGTCCTGGCTGCTCCTTGGGCCTAATCTCCACCCCCTTCACCATCTGGCCTTGCAAACACCTTCAAGTCTCCCCTTCACGAAGAAAAAGATGGTCTTTCTAGCCGTTTCCCTCCCTCCCCTGGCTCCTGGCTCCCTCCCAGCCACAACTCGCTGAGAGGCTTCCACCTGCCCCTCCCTAAACTGTACCACCCAAGAGAGCACCCGGAGGACCCTCAATCGTCAAGGCCACGGCCTCTCAACCTTCCTCCTCCTTCCCTCTCAGTGACCTTTGGCCCCGTCGGCCATATGACGGGCAACCTGGGCAAAGCCATCGTTGGGGCCTGGGCAGCAGGCCCTGGAGCCGACTGCCCGGGAGCAAGTGCTAGCTGTCCCTGTGCCTGACCGGGGCCCAGTTACTTAGCTCCTGCGCTCCATCTGCTTCCCTATAAAACGGGCTAATAACACTGCTTACCTCACCGGGTCCTGGAGGATTCGGTGAGGTGATGCACGTCGGCATCTGAGAACAATGCCTGGCACAGGAGGGTGTGGGGCAGGTTAGCCATTAGTGCCCAGCCTTGCTGCCTCACTCACACACCTGCCCCTCTTCTGGGCTCAGGCTCAGGCTCTGCCCTCAGACGTGTGAGTCCTCCTCGAGGCTAGGCCTTTGCACACGGCTCCTCCTGCCTGGATGCTGCAAATAGCATATCTCAACTCAGACTCACTTTAGCGGGAAAGGGCATCGACCGGCTTCAATAACTAGATGACCTGTGCTCAGGGCAGGTGAGGTGGCTCCATCTCCCTGGCTCCATCTCCCAGGCTCCATCTCCCTGGTTCTATCTCCCAGGCAGAGGAGGCAGGGGTAGCCTCCTGGAGCCAAAATGGCTCAGCGGCATCCCTCTCCTGTGCAGATCTAGCACAGACAATAGCTGCTCCTTGGAGCGTTCCTCTGAGCAGCCTACCCTGGGCCATGGCCCATCTCTGAGGCCATCAGTAGGGTCAGGAGCTTCGGGTCATTAAAAGCCATCTTCTGAGATGGGAGTGGGGCAGGGTGGAGGCAAACTCCCCAAAGGATGGGACTGGGCCAGCTGTGGAGAGACTGTAAGTGTATGAGGAGCGGGAAGAGGAGAAGCCACTGTCGCCAGTGCCACCTCCCGCAGACAGCCTGCTTGAGCCCTGCTCCCAGCTGTTCTCTGTCATACCGCATCCACAGCCCTCTTCCCCCCTCTGCTCCCAGGAGAGCATGAGCTCCCGAGGAGGGCACAGGCAGCCTGGCATCCCCTGGGCCCCACCGAGGGTGGAAAATGTGAGCCTCAAGTCTGTCCTCCCTCAGGTGTGGCGCCCCGGTGCTCCTGGTTCTACCTGCCTGTTTGTCTTCTGTCTCTCCTCCTCCTGGTCCTCCCACCCCTGAACTCAGCCCTTCCACAAGTCTGGCTGCCTGCAGGCCCTTGGGGAACTTCTGGGACTCTCCTAATCACAGCCTTCACCCCATCTTTGCTCTGAAGGTCCGAGCTGGAGTTCTAATGCCTGCGGGATGTGGCCCCTCAACAAATCCGCCCGGAAATGGTCCATTTCTATACAGACGTTACTTATCAGACCTCAGTCTGACCTTGGCATTGTCTGCTCCTGAGCCCTGTGCATATGAATGGTTCCGCGGTGGTTTGCTCGCTGCTTTGAAAGACGGCACACCAGGATGGCGAGGAGCTGGGGCCAGGCCAGCCTCTCCTCACCTCGGTGTCGGGCACAAGGTGGTCTCTGGTCTCTCTGTCCCTATCTGGGTTATCTGGGGTGACGGGACAGGGTCGGGAGGGACAGGCACAGAGAAGCAATGACTCCTGCGCCCAGCAGACGAACTGGGGAAGTGCCCGGCAGCCCCTTCACCCGGCCACCGAGAGGCTGGAGGCCCAGGTCCAGCTCCGCCGGGCTGCCCGCCTCCTGACCACTCCCCCCGTTTCCTGAGGTCCCCGTGCTGTGCTTTTTCTTCGTACCTGACTCACGATGTGCGTTTCCTGTGAGCTGTCTCACCCTCTGGAACAAGGTGGGGAATACATTAATATTTAAAATAAGACAAACAAAATGTCAGTGTGTGTGTGTCTTAGGCTGGAAATTCCTTAAGGGCAAGGACCATGTCTGTTTATATAGCACCTGGCACAGTGTCAAATTGGGGCTTAACAAATGAATTCTGATGAAGATGAGAAAAAAGCTGCCTGCATGAAGATGCAGAGTCCTTGTCACCCCCATCCAGCTAAGCCTCATCCACCCCCTTAGCCAGGGGCACCCTTTCTCCTGCCACCCCAAACCCTCACCCTGTTCCCGACCCTCTGGCCTGTCCACACTGCCCACAACCAACCCTGTCCTCACCCACACTCTGCTCTCTCTGAGACGTGCCCCTCCCTCACAAACACACTCACTGGGGGTCCACCCAGCCACCTCCCACCTGCTGCCCAGCCTGCACACAGCTTCCTACACAGTGGGTGGCTTGTCCGGGGCCTGGCAGTGTGTCCTGGAAGCCGAGTCGTTGGAGGTGCTGTCCCCAAGCGTGCCTTGGCCCCGTGGGGGCCTCCAGCCAGGCGGGGACCTGGCAGAGGGAGGGAAAGGATAAGCCGCTTCAAAACTCCAGATGCAGCAGTTAAAAAGAGGACAGAGGCAATGATCC